CACATATCCAAAGAGCCGTTGAAATTGAAGTTGATGTCCTGTCAGAGATTGTGGTGTCAATGGCGACTCTTCCATGTCCATTGCCTTGCTGCTCTCAGATCTGTTTTTCTTCAATTGCAAGAATGCATTGTGAAATCAATTTCACAAATACCCGAATATATCTTCTGCCTTCATGCTATATCGTATTATCGTCCAAGTTTCTTTTTTCATTCTGGAGTATAGTTTGAGTGATTGCGCAATTAATTATATTATTTTGTAGGAGTTTAGTTTGCAATTTGCTTTGGAAAATATGTCACTAACTTTCTAGTAGTTTGGCAACTTGAATTGTAAAAATAATAAAAATAAAGTTACCCATAGTATCTTCCACATTAGATATTTTTTGTATGATAGTCTTAAAGACGCGTCGACACACTGCTCTGCTCAATGTCGCCAAGCGCAGCATCTGTGGCTTGCAAAAAAAGGGGGAACGATGCAAATGCCATGGAGATGATACTGGTTGTTGTTTGTTTGAAGAGGGCTGGCTAAATGCAATGGATGCACCACTGCCAGACTGGCTGAATGGCTGTTTTGCAGGCTGGCTGGGAAACTCGTCAGGTTGCTCGACATGATATGCCTGTAACTATTTGACTTTATTTTGCTGCTGCTGCTGCTGCTGTTGCTGCTGCTGCTGCTGTTGCTGCTGCTGCTGTTGCTGCTGCTGTTGCACGCCGTGTAAACACAGAGACAGTCCTAAAGCGGAAAAGAGACTAAGCAACTGAAAGCGATAAACAAAACTCCACAAACACAAAGGAAAATATAAAGTAAATTACAGTTAGAAAGTTCAAGTTTTGAGTGGATATTTTAGTACAGAATATACCCCTTAACATTTGTTTGTGCTCAGCTAATATATACACACAAAAAGAAACGCTTAAAGCTGCCATCGAGTTCTAGATGTCTTCCTTTTATTAATTAAAGCATCAGCGAACATTTTGAAAAGTACATTTTACTATTTGCAATATTATTGTGTTAAACACTTTCATTTTTCTTTCTATAATTTGTCGGCTTTGGTCAAAATTCGCATTGCCTGCAAAACTATTATTTATTTTGTTGTTGTCGAGGGTATTGCAAAATGTGAACTTGAGCTGACCGCTATATTTGCTGAAGTCGACTGGGCTCATTTTTAATTTAAAGTTGGCTCTAAGCGATGCTTAAATGTTGGCGTATCAGGCAAACGAGTGCCATGCTTAGGGACATTTTCAACTGAAAAATTTAAAGTTCTAAAATTGCAAGCCAATTAGGTAGGAAAGCTAAAACGTGCGTTGGTTTTAGCTTGAGAAAATGGCACACCCACTTGACTTGTTGTTCCTAGTTCTTGCTGTTGTTGTTGTTGTTGCTGTAGTGGATGCTGCTGCTTCTGTTGCCGTTGCTGTTGTGCTGGTTGTTGCTGTAACCACTGAGCAACTCACTAATTATGCAAAAATTAGTTGCATCTCGAGCAACAAAACAAAATAAAAATAAGAAAGTAAAAGATTCTAAAAAGAATCTGGAACACGGTCTGGCAGCTACGACACATAAAAATACGTAAGAATGCTGTAGTCGGGTGAGCTCGACTATGATATAACCTGGACCCAGCTGCTAAACATATTCCAATTTAATTGTCAGATTTCCCTTTACAAGTTTTGTCTGGAACTGCTCTCATTTCTTATGGCAGGAAAAACGAAACACTTTCAAGACCGAACTGGAATCAACCGATATATATATATGTATATACATATGTATGTAGGTAATGTGCCGCTGCAGAATACAACGAGATATTTTCGCCCTTGTCGTCCCTTTCTCACAATATGAAAATATATATTTCGACCATAACTTGGATGTTTCCTCTACGATCTTGATGAAACTTGTTCAATTATTGTCAGTTAGTTAATTAATTAGAAGTCTCTGGCTTTTGACATTGTCGGAAATCAACATATATATATTGTGCAGGAGGTAGTTGTCGATCAATCGATACTTGATCAGTGCGCGGTATACGAGAACTCATATTCCAAACTCGACTGTTGATCCTGATCGAAAATGTGTTTACTGCTGTCTCAGATACTTCCTTCTGCCGGTGCCATACATTTGCTCAAAACCATTATACCCTTTTTACCCAATTTTCAATGGGTCTAGTGTGTAAAAAGCTAAAGCTGAAAATGTTGCCTCTTCCACCAGTTGTGGACTCTACTGTATTTATTTTTTTTCGCACGTAGCCACAGAACGCGTGTGCCTGCGCGTGTGTATGGTGTGTATATTTGTGTGTGTGTGCTAATTTAGGCATCCTTTGTTGTCGCCTGCGTGAATGACACACAGTGTTGGGCACACAGCGTGGGAGTGCACAAAAAATGCCCGACTCCCGTTTGTTGTTTCAGTCTCGCAAAAAAAAAGCAGCACGAGCATAAAGTATATAAAAAAAAAAAACAAATAAAAATAAACAACAATACGGCTTTGTCTGAGGGCAGTGGAGGGAGGGGGGATAATTATGTTGCAGCAGCAGCTGCAACAGTTACAGCAGCAGAATAGTAAATGGCTCATGCGACTGCGTTCCACCGACTCCATGTCGACTTCCCTATAAATCTCCCACTTCCCACCTCCCACTCTCCATTCCCTACACCACCCATCTTCTACACAGATGCATTGCCCATTACCCTGAGGTATTTGTGGTGTCGCTCATGCATTCATTCATATTCATTTTCATTCACTCATTCATTGATAACCCAGTCGTTGCCTGCTAATAGACTCAACAATAGAAGACAATGGCATTCAATATGGCTAATTAGCGTCGCAAACGGTATTAATTCTCTGCCTTCTCCATTTTAAATAACGGTTATAAAATAACAATAAATTTTGCATTGGACTTGCAGCTGAAGATCTACGAAAAATATATGAAATATGGAATCAATAAGAGCTCGACTACGATATACGCTGGACACAGCTGTTAGCTTGGGTGTTGGGGCATGGCTATATCGTATCGCCTGTGCATCCTGATCAGGAATGATACTATTTGATTGGGTCGCAGATGCTGCCTTCTGTCGGCTACACACAAAATTATACAAATTTTTAATGGATAATCAAGTTTTGTGTTTCCAGATTAAAATTAAAGATGTCCATCCACTTTTTTGAGAGAGCATTTTTTGTTGCATATCACAGGGCGGACTGCATATTTTTGGTATTTCACTGTCTCGCATCGAATGGTATATAACAAAAACAATGACATCATTTTATTGCTCGCTAATCATCGACTATATCGGAAGCTTCCATCTTGACTCCAAATGATTTATGGTTCCCGCATGGATTGGCATTGATACAATGCAGGCGGAGTTGCGGTGGCAACACAAAAAGCATCTGCTCCAAAGTCAAATAGCGTTGAAGTGGGCGAGTTATATATATATATATATATATGTATGTATGTGTGTGTGTGCTTTTAGATTCTTCGCTTGAATTTGCTGTAGATTTTGCAACTGACACCCGGCTATTTGTCTTGAATTACTTTCCGACTTGCACTTTGCACTTCCCATAAACACCCGCACACAGACATAACGAGGCTCACACAAACAGAAATACATACAAATGCACTTATTTATTTGGTTTTCAATTTCGGCTTTCGCCTTTTGGTTTTTGTATATTACAAACAAAATGTATTGAACAAAATACAGATCCCCTCCCCCACCCAAACACGTTCGACATTTCCCGCAGCAGAGAAATTGCGCGTAAAATAAAACTTCAATTTCAGCAATAACAACAATGCAGCAGTAGCTGTTGTAGAACAACAGCTGCAGGGTGGCAAGTAAGCGGCGCAGCAAACAAAAAAAAAAGAAGGAATTGAAAAGCGTTTTAAAAACAATAAAAGTGGCAAATTCACAGCCATGCCACGCGACCCCCACAACCCCCACAACCCATACAACCTATGTCCAGACTCTGCGAAAATTCACAAATATTTCCAGTACGTGGCACTTTCTGTTTAAATACATATACATATGGCTATGTATGTATGTGTGTGTGTGTGTGTGTGTGTGTGTGTGGCCGTGTGTAGTGCACTTGAACTGTAGAAACAACATTTACAACAACGACGCGTGTTAATGTTGTACGTGGCAAACGCAAAAGCGATATTCGTTGCATTAACCAAGCGAAACAACAGGAAAAGTCAAAAATTTTCACGTTGCTGTTGCTGCTGCGCTATCGGGTTTAAATCGCACTTCCTCCAACAGAGTGAAAAGCGACAAAATGTTGCTGATTTCATGTAAACATCTTTGTGCACCTTGCAACACATTTTCGAACAGAGCGAAATATAAAATCATCAGCTGAATAATTGCAGGAGATACTCATGATACTTGGCATGCATATCTTTATTTTTATCATGAATATATTTAGATTTAGCCATAATAGATCTAATAGGTCGCTGTGCAACATTAACATTAACATTAAAGTTGCTTATATTTCATTTTACTTGGTTTATAAAAGTTGGGTCATCAAACTATTGTATTTTTAATTTAACATGCCAATTTGACAGGCTGAAAAATGTATATTATTCAATAGTCATGTTGGTGATTTGGGGTTATGGGTGCAGGCTTACTGATCGAAACACCGGGCCCATGACCATTAATAACACGTGGAGTTTTATTTAGAGGTTATGTTCATATTTACGTTTTAATATCTTTTCGTCGAGCGCTGCGCGACCTTCCTTACTTAATGTAATCGCTAATCGATGTTATGCGCGTCTTTACAGTGATCTGTTAAGAGACTCGCATACAGAATGTTGTGGTAACTCTATGTACATTGTGCATACAGAACTATGTAAACATTGTTGCTTTAACATATTATTATACTATTCGCGATAATAACAATAAGTCCGTTGCCTAATCACAGTCCGATTTCATTTTCGTTTCGTTTTATGTTTAAGCACCATTTTCCATCTATGTATGTATGTATCTATATGCAAACGATCAATGGGTTAACTTCAATTGGTTTTTTGTTTTAATTATCAGTCTCTGTAGCTCTCTGTATCTTTTCGACTCTGTACGCTGGGAATTTGTGGTGTGCATGTGGGTGTGGCAGCTGCTGACCGAAGTGCATTAGGAATTACCATTGCAAACGGAATTGCAATCTGCATCGGAATCAAGAAGTTCAAGTGCCTAGTCCAACAACATCCCTCTTCCTCCGCAACGACTGGTGCCAAACGAGAAGGAGACAGCAGGCAGCAGGATGACGACGCTGACAGCGACGTCGACAGCGATGCCAGGCGATGGCAATGCCGCTGCAAAAATGTTTTCGGATGCGGATGTGGCGGAAGTGCGGCACGTTGTGCAACGCATTTTGGTGCCGTGCGTTTTTGTTATTGGACTATTGGGAAATTCAGTGAGCATTTATGTTTTGACGCGGTAAGTGCACTTGTATGCGATGCTCTTGCTGATGTTGCTGCTGTTGGTAGAATTCCTGTTGTTGTTGTTGCTGTTGTTGCTGTTTCTGTTGTTGTTATTTTTATTGTTATTGTTCCATGGATTATGGCCAAGCGGACAACTTGATTCAAATGTAACTGTGCGTGTGTGTGTGTGTGTGTGGATTTTATGCATTTTATGTTTATGATGCGTGTTGCAGAGCCAAAAACTGAAAAACAGGTACGCAGCATATTAGAAAAGGCATTTAATTGTTGTCATCTAGCTGGCACTCTAAATTATTTCATTGCCCAAAATGCAGCAGCTGCAACAACAGCAACAACAGCAACAATAACAACATCAACAAGGACAGCAGCAATAGCAACAGCAATAATAATAATAACAATAAAAGCAACAATTTCAAGTGCCAAAATGCTAACGGCTCTGAGATAAGAGTGAACAGAAGGTTTGCGTTTTAAAATGCTGGAAATATGCAACTAGACAAAGCTTGCTGCAGTAAGATACACTCGTCAGTCTGCTCTCAAAAAATGAGTTCAGTTTTTGATAAGTCAGTGATTTTTTTTTTTTCATTTTCCAAGTGAAAATGGCAGCCTGAAATGCAATAGTGCAACTGTTGCCACATGACAAGTTATCTGTACTCAAGTTGCTCAGCTCAGTGTGCTCATTAAAAACCAGTTCAGTTTCGATTAGTCCGTATTTTTTTTTTTTTTTTTTTTAATTTCCAATTAGAAACGAAAGTTCTTGTTGGGTTTTTAAAGCGGAAAAAAGTGATGCACTAGGTTTGGTGGTTAGACGAAGAAGAACTTTTATTCAATATATTCTTAAGTTAAGGTATCGAGCGCAGTATCGATATTTTCTGTTATTAACATTAGTAATCGAAATGTTGTATTGATCTTTTACATTTTGGCATTTTTATATGTCTCTAAAAATATCTAAAAATGTACATAAAAGCATCTCATATTATTCAATCAGAAATCGAAGTACAACACTTAGTTTTTACTGGGCTTTCAGTCACGTAAAATAAATTTAAATAATTCAAACTCTCAGCTATTCTCAGACTCATTATTGTGTTATTAAATTTAGTAAACTTCTTGTTGTTGGGCATCGCGATGTGGCTCGACTTGCCCAACTGCAGTCATACAAAAGTCAACAGCCAACAGCCAAATATGAACAGTTAGGTTTTATTGGGCATTCGTTGGTGTTATGACCCTGTAGACAATTGCCTGAAATTTCGTCTAGTTTTTCCTTACTCACTAGGTTCGAGCCACCCAGCATAGAGCCCGTTTTTTGGGCCATTTGGTTATTGAAATTACTGTTGCATTCGATATTGTTGCAATGCATGTTGCTCTAACGGTTGTTGGCATATTTCCACAAGCGAAAACAAACAGTTTACTTTTATGCTTATTTTTATCTCTATTTATTCATTTTTTTGTTGTTTTTGTATTTTGACCGGTTTTGTTTAGAAAGCGCATGAGGTGCACCACAAACATTTACCTATCGGCTTTGGCAATTACGGACATTGCGTACCTGACCTTTGTATTAATATTATCACTCAAACACTATGAATATATCAAGTACCACTGTGAGCTCTATTGGCGACTCTATGGCTTTGTAATGTGGCTGTGCGATGCATGTGGTAAGTAAGTAAGGACGGTGGAGAAGTGCACCTTTCTAAAAGGAATAAATCATTTATAATTTATAAAGGCTTAGTTTACTGAAAGGTTGTTTAAAATAAGTTAAGGTACAAACATCAAAGAATATCTATGAAATATACATCATGTTGCAGTTATACCAATGATGCAACAAACATTCGATTTGCACTTATGAGTTTATCGACATTTTATCGAACTGTCTGAACGAGTAGTTCAAGTTTTTAGCTTTCTAGATTTCGGGATGGAAATACCTGTGTTGGCAGAGTGTATAAAATGTAATGCGTTGCAAGGAGCTGTAAATAAGGGGCACAATAAACGCGAAAAATATAAAAAGCAAAATCCAAGGATAGCTTGGAAATCAAGTTGATCAAGTTAAGTTCTCATTTATCAAAGAGAGTGTTTGTTCTGGCAACTATAAGCATATTAATATGTAAGCATTTAATAAACTTCTGTGTACGATATACATGTATGTATGTATGCCTATGTTAAAGCTTTAGTTTACTAACTACAAATGCTACTAGAGCGCTTTTGACTAAACTGACAGGCCATGAAACATGAGTTACGAAAGTTTTTTTTTTGAATGAGTGGGCAGCGGCGAGTGGTGTCAGATTGCGGCATTAATAACAGTTGGATTGTATGAGTTCATGTTGAACAACCATTTACTGATATCTGCTTGTGTTCGAACTCTATTCAATATCCACACGCACACGGATCAACACACACACACACACACACACACACATGGACAGCGTACATCTCAATTTACATAGCCGTGTGCTTTACCATCGAGCGATTTATTGCGATACGCTATCCGCTCAAAAGACAAACATTCTGCACAGAATCGCTGGCCAAGAAGGTAATAGCAGGTGAGTGGCCATCGTTGGATGGGTTATGTGATGGGTTATGTGATGTGGCTGTGGCTATGGCCCGGACACAAGCATTGAAGCCAGCCTTTGTATTGTTTTCACAGCCGTCGCGCTCTTCTGTCTGCTGACCACGCTATCGACGGCATTCGAGCACACATATGACATCGATTGGAAATTGATTGATGGCGCGTATAGGCCCTGTAATCAGACGCTGGCAAATGTATCACCCACACCGGCGCATCAAACGCCGGGAACCGCCTGGCATGTGAATGAAAATGCCAGCATGTCCAACACAACGCCTTCCAATGTGGAGCCGCCATTGGATTTGGGCAGCGGCGCTGGTGAGTCGGGTACGTGGTAGTAAAACATCTTCGATACGGTTTGCACCTTTAAATAAGTTACTTTTCGTATTAACATCCTATTCTCTGTCTTCTCTTTTTTTTTTTTTTTTGGTGCAGACCACATTCCAAGCAGGCAGCGTCGCTTACCAGCATCCACGTCCGCCTTTGTGGGCGTGACTGCACCAGCCACCGAGCCAACAGCAGCAGCGGCTACTGTCAGCTTCCTGCATTTGTCACGTGCCAGACGCAACGAAGAAAACTACGACAACGATGCCAACTTTAAAAACAATTACAGTAACAACAACAACAACAACAACAGCAACAGCAACAACAATAACAGCAACAACAACAACAGCAACAGCAACAACAATAACAATAACAACAACAGCAACAAGAACAACAGCAACAGTAGCGCATTCGAATTTAACGTAACGGAATACTGTCAAAACGTAAGCGAATAATTAAAGTGGAAGGTAAAAAAAATGTGGGAATTCCGTAGTAAATTCGACTGTGAAATACTCTGTTATTTGTGCAATAATATACTCTGTAATACATATATGAAATAATAATAATAGACCAAAGCTAGATCTTTGATAATAGTTATCAGCAATCTGTGTATTCAATTGATCTTTTCTAGCGCGATCTACTCTCGATTCAGCTTGAAAATTGTGAGAAATAAATACATAAGTATCACTATCAGTGGCATATTATTCAGTTAATGTAAATTCCAGATTTAAGCTTCAATATGATTTTCAATTTGTTCAGTTCTAGTTGCTTGATTTATTATGAAAACAATTAATAATATTGATAATTATCGTCATCAACTGTTCACAAATTCAGATGACTGTCTACGCAAACGATCTGTCGAGTTTGGGCCAGAATGCGCTGTACATTAACATTTGGAGTGTGTACTCATTGATTGTGTTTGTGCTGCTGCCGCTACTCGTCTTGGCCACCTTCAACTGTTTCCTCATTCTGCTCGTGCACCGCTCGAAGAGCCTTCGAGGGGATCTAACCAATGCCAGCAGCATGCGACGTACCAAGGTAAGTGCCCACTAAGTCTGCTTGGCAAACTATTCACGGCATTAGGCAACTAATATACACAGTTGCATCTGTGCGAAAATATCGATAACAATTGTAACTAACATCAACTTGACACAAACTCATTCTGAGTATGAACTTTAAGATGTTCACCGTAAAATGTCATATAAAAGAAATAACTTCATAGTGATATAATATGTAATCCCTTCTCTCTCTCTCTCTCTCGCTCTCTCTCTCTCTCTCTATTTGTCTCTTCCGCATAGCGCAAGTCGACGTCGGGGCTGACGGGCAGCGTTTCACAGGAGAATCGGGTGACTATCACCCTGATTGCTGTTGTGCTGCTGTTCATCGTGTGCCAATTGCCGTGGGCAATCTATTTGATACTGGTGCAGTATATGGATATAGAATTGAATATACAAAGGATTGCCGGCAATGTGTGCAATCTGCTCGTTGCCATCAATGCGGCAGCGAATTTTTTCTTATACTGCGTGCTGTCGGACAAGTACCGCAAGACGGTGCGTGAGCTCATTACCGGCTACCGCTATCATCATCGGCATGCACGCAACAATTTCAGCCTCTATATGCCACACACGACGACAACAACGAATGGCGACAGTGCCAGTGCCAGTGGTGGTGCAAGTGGTTATGGCAGCTATCGCAATGCAAACAGTCGACGTTGTCGCCCCACGGGTCGTCTAATTGCGTGAGTTACGAACAAGTTGAGTTGATCTCACACTGAACTGACTTGAACAGCACTTTTGTTTTTCTATATTTCTATATTTTTATGATTTTATTTTGCATTTTTGTTCCTGTTGCACCGTAGATAAGGCGTGTCTAATTATACAATTCGAATGCTATACAATCCTTAACTATGTGGTAGTCTAAGCTGACCAATACACACATATAAATATATAGAAACTTTGTTTTATATGCTACCATACATTTGTGCCATAATGTGATGATTATAGTTTTTATGATATGTAGTTATCCTAATCGTAATTGTTGTTGTCTTAAGCCTCATAAATGTAGTCTCAATACAAAATACAATTGAGAACACTATTCACTTAGCTCATTGTATCTTCGATTATGTAAAGCTCAAATGACCTGTAATATAAATCAAAGACTTTGTCATTTTTTTTTTTTAACTTTAATCCGCAAGTGTGGAAAAAGATCAAAGATTGTAAAACACTCAACTACCAAACAGACATAACTAGATTTACATATATATGTTTGAATACTTACAACCTAAGAAGTAGCTTAGCTGTTAGCTTGTAAGACTCACAAATGGAATCGCAACCAACCCGAAAAAAAAAATGAAAAATGAAATGTCTTTTTTTTCAACTTGAGTAAAAGTATATCATATAATATAATAATTGTTAATTGCATAAGAAAATGTCAGATATTTAAAAACAATAAAAATATAGAGATATATTATCATTTAACATCATTGTTTTATTTTATTTTTTTTTTGGCATTTTATACGATATGTATTAAATGAAAATGCAACAATAATTCAGAGCAGATACGTTTGTGAATTAAAGCAAAAGTAATGTATTTACATACATATGTACAATGCAGGCAACAATTCCATGCAGTTCTCAGCTATTGTTTCGTTCGAACATTTGGAATGCGGTCAAAAGTATGTAATGGGATTGATTGAGATTTGCTGCAAAGTTATGGAAACTTTACAATGGCGAGGACACAAAACTTGTGCTCAACGGGTTAGCCAGATAGAGCCAGTCATGCTACCCACACACACACACACACACACACAGACACACATTTGGTTTGTAAGAAACATAATGGAGTAACAAACATTTGCGGTTTACTGTATTTGTTTTTGTGCTCCTGGTGTACGCGTATGTGTGTGTGTGTGTGTGTGTGTGTGTGTGTTTCTGTTTCTGTGCTTGCATTTGAGCACACAAGAAATTGCTTATAAACACATACACACATTTTGTAAATACAATTCACAGTGATGAGCCAAAAAAAATATTAAAAAAAATAAGTAGAATGTCAACTACAACAATTGCGTGAGTGTGTGCATTAAGAGTGTCAGTTGCCGCCTAGCTGTGCGCTGCCCTGTTGTTGCCCACTGCTCGCTCGCTCGTCTCTTTGCCATTCAACGCCAGTCGTTCCGCTTGGTTCCCTTTGGACCATACGTTGGTGCCTTTTCTCTGCTCGTGTTCATGAAAAATTACAAGTCAGCGTCACAATTGAAATATTTCCGCCTTAACGAACAGAAATCCGCAATCGAAAATAGTTATCTTGCCATTGGAATTTGCCCAGAAATATGGCTGTGGCAAATGGAAACTGCCAACTGGCAACTGGCAACTGGCAACTGGCTCGACTGGTAACTGGGCGTAGTCGGATGTGCCACCACCAACACCACCAACATCACCAACAGCAGCCAGCAAACACTGTAAAAAAAAAAAAAAACATTTGCCGGTATCACCCATATTGGCGCATATTGTGTGTGGATTATGTGTGCCTCTGCTTTTTGGGTGCGCCGTCAAAGCCTCGTCTGCCCATTTTCAAACTGCTTTGTGTGGTCCGAAATTTCCATATTTGATTGTTTTGGTGCGCCAGCACAACAACAACAACAACAGCAATAACAAAAACAGTTAAAAGAAGGGAAACGACAACAACGTCTGTTTATTGAAAATATCACATAAAATTCGCTTCTCTGCAGATAGGCGAATGCAATGTGGCATTCTTTTGGCCGCATACCGAAATCGGCAACAACACGAATCATATGCGATATAAACTTATTGCATAACATTTGATGGTAAATACAGTTTGGCTTTCATTGTTCAACTTTAACTTAACTGTCAAAGCATATGAAATGTATTACTTTTAAACTTATAGACATTCTTTTGGACTGTTGGGCGATTCAGCAATTAGTCTCAATTAATCTAAAAACTTAAATATAATTGAATAATTAAAGCGATATCAGTTGGTGGGTTTTATTGCATAGCTGGACGCAGTGTTGCAGAATTCTGTATACAGCATATAAAGAATGCATTGCATTTAACGAACACTATTTTACACACACACACAGACACACACACACACACACACACACATCTGTACAGGCAAACACAACAAATGCGAAACAATAGCAAGGCGAGCCACACAACAAAAAAATTAAGTACGCATGACAAAGCGAAATGCGGATAATGCTATACAACAACAATGTCATCAACAACAGCGAAAGTAATTCAGAGTGCTGCTCGCACAAATGCTCGACTGCGTGATACCCTCTACAAAAGACAGGGAAATGCATAGATGAGATGACCGACTGAACTAGAAGTCAGCATATCAGCGTATACTTAATATCATAGATGATGTTTTCGTTTGTGTTTTTTCAACTGTATTATACCCCTGTTAACCGTTCAACGGGTAGAGGGTATTAAAAAACTTTAAAATATCAACGAAATGTTTATGTATGTAGCTGTCAAAAAGTTGTTGCAACAATAACTTTTTCATATGCAAAGCCGTCGTTGATATGTCAAATGGAAGGAGACATATATAGCGACATACATAGATGTGTATAGGTGGCCAGAGAGAGAGAGAGAGAGAGAGACATTTATCAGTTGTTTACAGTACACAGCCCTGGGAGATTGATGGCGTTATTAATGCAGAAGCAGTGAAGCAATACGGCAAATTCCTCAAACACACGAGTATTAGTAAACTTTCGGGAATTCATTGCCAAGGCTTAAGCCGAAAAGCGTTTAGGAATGTCAAAAGATTAACTCTTTTAGCTAAACAAACAACAAAAAATACGTCTCCTATAATATGCAGCTTAATAAAAGGCATTTGTTAAAAACTTGACTCCTTTAATTAAATACAAAACTTGTCGTAAAATATTATGCATTGTTAAAAAATTAACTCTTTTACCTGAGTAGAAAACTTCTCTTAAACTCTTCTCTTTTTCCTCACTGGCGTCAGTTTATCTAGCAAGCTATTGGAAGAATTATGTATGAATTATAGGATATCTCCAATCCGAGCAGACTCGATGAACATGTTGACTTTTCTTTTGATTAGTTATTGATGTGTGTTCGTTTTTGGTTGATAAATAAATATTACAATAATCTATTTCAATTGTTAGTTTGCATTCGAACAGTTCCCATATTTCATGGGAATTTTATGCATTTTAAAATACAGCTGACATTTTTTACTATCGCCAGTGTTAATGTTGTTGTTTTTTGTTGTCGGCAGGCGCCATTTATTTATTTATTTATATATAGCGATTTGTTTGGAATGGTTCTATTTTTATTGTGCAGGTTGAAATGTTTTGACCAACAAAGCCATAAAATGTGCATGGCAAATTTTACAATTGAGCCTCGTAAAATTTTACGTAAATTGCCAAAGCGTCAAATGTGCTGCAAAGAAAAAAAGTGGCGGAAATAACAATTGATGAGGTTGCTACGGTGGAGGGGAGGGATGCAGCGTAGGGGTTGCCAAACAGTTTGCGGTTGAAGGCAGTTAGCCAAATAAATGTACAACTAGATAAACCAGCCGTTGAAACGGCTTCTAGTTGTAGTTGTATGCACAACACACACACACACGCACACACACACACACACACGCACACACATCCGCAAGAGCTTGGCAAATAATGTGCGGCTGAGCCGAAAAGGAGGCAGCAGAAACCGCAACCCGTTCGTCGCCCTTGCGGCCCCCTTTTATCAACAGCTGCTTATGTGTTTGTTTTTCATTTTATGGGTTGTGTGTGTGTGTGTGTGTGTGTGCGTCAGTGTGTGTGTGTATTGTTTGGGCAATTTGCTTTTCTTACTCTTTTGCATTTTCATTGAATGAGGACATTTTGTTTCATTAGTTGTGCATTGCGGCCTCAGCCCATAAATAAGTCACAAATTTGTTTGTTTATCATATACACTAACACACACACACACACATATATATATATATATATACATACATACATATATATATATATATACATCCATATATACATTGTCTGACATCAAATATTTTTAATTAACAATTGGCTGTGTCCCAAAATGGAGTTAGACCTTATTTAATCACACAACCACATGCGCAATACTACACACACACACACACACACACACGCATATCTATGTGTGATGCTTGCTTTCTTATATTTTTGTGCCGAAAATTTGCTTAATTAAAAATAACAAGTGGCAGCAAAACAGTAAAACAAACAACCGCAGAGCTACAACCAAAACTTTGTTTAATGGTTAGTTAAGCGTTTAATTTGCACAGGGTCTTCGTCTTTATTTTTGGGGCAAGTGGAATCAGAGGCAGTTGGTGTGGCAGGCATAATGGTTAGTGTTGTGCGCTTGAGACCCACCCATTGTCAGCTCAGTCAGTGTCGACGACTTTTTAAAATCATCCATAAGCCACATATAGGAGTAGTAAGGGTAGCTCAGTTGCCTTGTGTGATTTTCTTTTTCGTAATTTTTTTTTTTTTTTAGCCAGCTTTGTGAAGTGATCCCTGCGGCTTTTTGCCAGCGGCTCAAGTTTTCTTTTAATGTAATTTAATTTCTGTGTTGATTTTGTTGTTGTTGCTGATTCTTTTGGGTATTGGCTTACAGAACGGTTAATCGATTTGAGCTCGTGTAACAAAATCATTTTAGTACTCAGTATTCACAACAGCTTTGTTACATATACACATACACGTACATATATCGGATAGGAATTTTGGCGCTAAATAGACTTAAATTTGTTTTAGACAAACAGTCAAATTTGAGAAGCAGCTATTGGGATTATTAGATAAAATAAAACATTATTAAAAACTAAACATAATTGTGAAGCTTAGCTTATAATCCGATATTTAAATTTGTATTTTATGCATTTATTTGATATAATGCGGTTTCCTTTGTGGGAGTTGCTTGCCAGTGAGTGCTTGCATATACTAATTAGAAATACATTCCCAAGTTTGCATCAAATCAGAAATGTAATCGATTATAAATTGGCATGCTCGTATACATTTGCAATTAGCCAACTGATGGATCAAATCAATTTAGCCCACAAGCCGAACGACATAAAATGCAATTTACTTTCCAGTTAACTTTAAATAGTGCAAATGTTCTGATCCGAAAAGCAAATCGTTGAAATTGTTGTGATTGCGGCTGCTAAATCGAGTCCATATAAAATGTCATGTTTTGATTAGCAGACACTGGTTGAAGACTAAAACGGCGATTGGCCAAAAGTTTGACTCGTTGCTAACCAATCGGATGACATGGATAAAATTGAATGTTCTTCGTTTTTGTTGTTTTCGCTGTTATTGATGCAGTGAAAGAAAAATGGAAATGCTTTACGGCCAAAGGCATAAGCGGCTTACAATTGGCCGCACTAAAATAATTTCAG